CTGAGGTTTTAATTAGAAAAGTGTTTGTTTTACAGTGCGCAGCGGTGGCACCTGTGGGCCACCGTACAAAAAGTCTTTGCAAAGCTCCCTATTACTTTGCACACTGAGTCCATCCTTAGACAACTGCCCCCTGAAAAACATCAGCTGGGCAAATATGTTACAAAGTTTTTCTAATGTTTACGGTTGGGAATACCCCCTGGTCACCCCTGGTTTCGGTCCCTACGAAAGTTCACTTCCATGTAATGGGCTCCTGTTACAGTGCAGTGTCAGACAGTCGGTTCTGATTGGTAGATATTTTAACGTCTACGCAATTAAATTGACGACGAGCAGACAAGCGCTTTTTTAGCGCGATTGTCATTGGCTGTTTTTTAAATGACGATTTTGAAGGGTTTGATAATTGGTGTCTGTGTGGAAGTGAGATTCGCAAGGACCGAAATAAGGATAATAAAAGGGTTCATCATCAATATCTGTAGAGCGCCTGTCCAGTTCTGTTCAACAAACCAGAGGCTTTTCTTCTCTCACCGCATCGCGGTTCGTTGACCTAGACTGTGAAAATGGGATTTACTGAACTAGGAATGAGATTTATCCACTGAGAAAGGAAGAAACAATTTCGAAAATGGGAATGGGGTTTCTCTTTTCGATAATTGAACTCAAAGCAAATTAGATGTTCCATTTTGTTCAATTGCCGAACGCAATTGAACACTGGTGTTCGATTGGATTTTGGTTCGATTTTGTTTGATAAGATGCCCCGGGCGTCATGGCATAAACTCCTTAAAAGTGACTGGTAACTGTTCGTCCTACTGCTTTTTCCCAAAGCCATACCTGTCAACTGCAGGAGGTCCTCTGCATCTCGTATGAACAGCTCAGAAGCACATTTCCCGCTAACCTCTTTGAGCCTGTCTGTTATGTACTTTCTGACATCATCTGGGCGTTTGTGTGCATCTCGTCGTGCAAACTCGGCATTCATCTTGATAGGCTCTCTAGGTAGCCCACAAGATGGAACAAAAAGTCCAGTTCGTCTTGCTGTCAAAACATTCCTCGTATTTGCAACAACACGAGTGCTTATGTCCTTGACCTCCGTGTATTCCCATGCTGTCGTTGGGTACATATCAAGCAATTTATCCATGTTTCTGCAACATTCCTCCATCAGGGCCAAATCAGATGTCAGGAGATCGTGGGGTCTTCCAATAAAAGAGTCGAGAAAGCCAGCCGCAGTGCCTAGATGAAGACCGATGTAATCTCCGGTATTCAGTATGGATTCTTCAAAGATCGGCAAGCACATCTGAAGTTTGTATTGTATGCTGTGATGACAAGTATTGGCACAGTTCAGGGCATAGGTGCGTGATAGTACAACTATGACTGCCAAGGCCACAAGAGGTCGGGCTATATCCAGGATTGCCACGTGCAGTGCATTTAAGTAGGCGCAGAACTCTTTGGTTTTCTTGAATGAGGAATCCAGCAACCTGTCGGGTATTGTTGAAATGGTGGGGTCTAGTGGAGCTGTTACAGATTCTGTCCAGTTCACCAGCAATGAGTGACAGTCTGGTTGGCCAAATGCTCCCAAGATTTGTTCGAATTCCTCTGCAGTGCGTTTAAGAAGCGAAGCCATGCTTTCTTCTGTCATTGCTTTAGATGACGAGCTTCTGGAAGCCAGCGAGGCAAACAAAATCACAAAATAATTATCTGATAAAATGGTGACGCCTGTTGGCATCTTGGTTGCATTTTCATAATCCCTGAAAATATGGTGACAAGCTTTGAGCCAAACAGTGATGAATTCGCGACATGCAGTGTCACTCTTCAAGAGACGAAAGCCCTTCTGAGCAATATCTAGGACATCTTCATATTTTTCAAGAGCCATAAGAGCTGAGCACTTCCTCCAGTAACCTTTTACCCACCGATCATCTGTCTCAATGGCAACATTTGCATCCTCCAAAGCCTTGTCATTCTGACAAAGCTTCAAATATGCTAGGCTACGATTTGTTAAGATGCAAGCAGCAGCCTTTCCTTGACTCATTGCTAATGCACGGCTGTAAGCGGATAGGGCACCATTATAGTCTGGTGGATGTGCTCTCATGAGCTTGTTCCCCAGTTCCTTAAGCTCATCAGCTGACATTTGTGTTGAATAGCAGCACTGTAGCGTCTACAATGACCTACTGTAGCGAAAAAGAAAGGATGTAAAAAATTCATCGACTTTTCTTATTTGTGGGCCAAGTCTGAACGTAACTCAGCCAGTAGAGCAATGCTGAACTATTAAACCTAACCCTGACCATAACCCTAGGCTTAACACAAACCTTGAAAGCTGACTGTTTTAAAATGGGTGCTTACACCTAAATACTGTTATCAGCACTACTTCTGTTGGTCTGCAGTCTGCAGTATGCAGTCTGCAAGTGTCACACTTGATGTTGTTTCACTACTCTGAGATGTTTTTCTCCTGGTTTTCTGTTTTTCCATTTTCATAAAAAAAACCCAACATTTCCGAATTCAAAATCTATCTGGAAATCCCCAGGTACTTTTGAACGAACCCATGGATGTATAAAATATACAAGGATGTACAATGGTATACACAGTTTACGATGGTCTACAGGGTTTACAATCATGATATATACATGGTGTACAATTGTATAGAGTGTGTGCAGCTACAAGGGGTTACAATGGTATAGAGGGTGTATGTAATGGTATAGAGAGTGTACAATAGCATACAGGGTTTAAAATGGTATATAGAGTGTACAAATTATTGCATACAATGATATACATATAGTTTATGACATAGAAAGTGCGGTATTGATGAGTGGTTTGTGTCAAAAACCTGAACAAGCAAGGTACGAGCAAGTGAGGACTTCTGACACTTTTTATGTAATGAGCTCTTTATTACACATAACACGAGAATTTTTATTGAAATAGTTTTCTGAATGCAAATTTAATTAGAAACAAAAACTCACTAACAATAGAACCAAATGCAAATTTGCAGTACATGTGCATCAAGGAAATAAAGTGCTAAACAGAAAAATACAAAAAGTTCTATTTTTTAATCTAAGTATGATATCAATAAATAGGATAAAGTTTCATTTAGTCACTGTCTGATTCAGTAACAAAGTGACATGCTTTTTTGGACCTTGGAGAATGCAAGGACAAAGTGGGACTTTCATTCAAGGCATAACAGAAATGTTAAAAGTTCCTCCCTGAATTGAAGCACCTAGGAAAAGAGTCAAGGGCTACTGTGTTGTGGACTCCTGTACTGTGGTTGCATTCAGAGTCAAAGGACTCTTTTCAGTGAGGGAAATGTAAAAACATTGCATGGCTTGTTCAAAGACAGCCTTTGCGTTATTATTGATTGGTTATACTTCCACATGTGAAACAGCTGTACACCATTCTGATTGGCTGTATAGGCTTTTTCACGTGTTAAAATAAAGCTTATAGATTTCTACAAATGAGCTTTAGGGATTAAAATTCTTGTGTTATGTGTAATAAAAGGGGGAAAAATAATATGCAAGGGGTACAATGGTATACAGGGTGTACAATTATAAACAGAGTGTCCAGTTATATACAGGGTGTGCAATGTTATACAAAAGGGTACAATAATCAAGGGGTACAATGGTATGTGGGGTGTACAATTGAAAGGGTGCATGGAAAAAAGCCTTAAGTGACTTCTGGTCAATTGCCATACTTTCCTTCCAAATTACCTTGTATTTGCTTGAGAAAATTGGGGAGAATTTAATATTGCAGAAAAATTCACTTAGGACTTTATTCCACGCACCACTTCAATTTATGTGTGTATGGTATACTTTATTCAAAAATAGCTGCAACTTTGTATTTAAATTTTCCCTTAATGGTTATTTCTAGACAAAGTCTTCTTTAAATGTAAGTTTGACAGCAAACAACTCTATTATTGTCCTATAGAACACTTTTTTGAGTACACGTCTGTCGTGTATATTTGCATGAAGAAGTAAATGGATGAATCTTTATGAATGTAATGCATGAAGGAATAAAAGTGTTGAGCACATGGTCAGACAAGTTCAGTCGACTATATGTTTTTCTGCCAGGTTTTTAATCCAGAAGCCAATAATTGGCAGGCTCATCCTCGGTGTAAAAACCTGTGAAGCTCACGAGTGACGTAAAACAAAGACAACTAAACGTTATAAACAATAGCGTACAGCAAAACAATACCTCGTGAAACAAAGAAAACCTCGTCAGATTTTTACACCATGGATGACCCCAACTGCAAGAGGATACAGCAGTGTCAATCTTTTTTCTCAATTGCTTTGATTTTGCATTACTAAGCTGAGTGACTAACTGACAACCTCGTTCCCAGGGTCTATGAGAGACCCTGGGAACGAGGTTGACTGGCTGAAACATTTTGCACCGTGTTCTCAACCAGTCAGAGGCATAAGCAACCACAGACCACAACTCAAGAGCACACAACATGAACCGTTTGTTACTGCATTGAGAAATATCAAAAAGAACTATAACCTTTCAGATTCACCCAAAGTACCTAGGTTGGATACTTTAATCCTCTTTTACGAAATTATTCTATAATCCCAATATGACCAACATAAAAATAGGAAATGAGTTAGTACTTACCACACTCTACCCGGTTCTTAGGACTTTTATGCATATAGCTTCCACTAGACTCAGTTCCTATATAATAATATCACTTGTCGTTAACTACCTCGTAGCAGCACAGGCGGCCCAAGCTCTCTTTGAGAGTCACACAAGGAACACAATTTGTATATCGATTTATAAGGATTTGTATGGGACTTTCTACAAGATATCCATAGAGATAGTTAAAAGTGAAAATATTAAATAAAAATGACTTACCTTATTCCATACGTGTGTTGCTTGCTCCTGGTGTCGTTATTTGACCGATTTCACTTGATTTAAGCGGTTTTTTTAATCCTGGTGTTCTCTTTAGGTTACTTCCTAATGTCAAAGGCCGAAAAAAAAATTTTTTTTCTTTTGTACCAGATTGAAGTTAGACATTTTAACTAACGTTAACAAAAGAAAAAATTTAAAAATCTCAAAAAGCGTCCGACTTATTTAGCAAAACATATTTTCAAATAAAAGTTATTAAATCAGGAAGGTGTCATAATCTCGTAAATGGGCGAACCCCCGAGGGAAATATTCGCGGCAATTTCCTCTCATTTGCATATTTTGTTTACATCGCGCACATGACAAAATTCACTCGTGGAAGTTATCTGCTCGTGGAAGTTATCTGCTCGTGGAAAGTCTTTTCTCATGGATAAAAAACATAACTCAAAATCAGAGAGGAGTCCTTGGGTAAAGAATAAGAACAAAAACAGGCCCAAAGAAAAGAGAAATGGCAGCATTTTGTCAAAAAAATAAAAATAAAAAATTAAAAAAAAATAAAAACAGTCCTTGCTGAAAGCGACAAACTCGGCATCAGCTGAAGATCGGCAGCATTCGATTATCCTTGCGGCAAGCAGCTTAAAAATTAAAGTCAACACCACAGAAGGTTGAAAACAAGATTCTTCGTCGGAATCTGACGAAACCGATGGAGAAAAAGAAGAATGCGACAGATTTACCCTTTCTGCCGCGGGTTTTTCCTTCACCGACTTTGTCCATTACTAAACGATCAACTAAGCGAGGCAAAAAACACCTGACTGCTACGCGATACTTTTCCCGGGAAAATCTTGTTTCATTGTCATGAAGGCTAGGAGGTCTCGTCTTCTCGTTGGTTTGCGGTTTCTGGAGGCGAGATAATGTCCTAGTGTGGCGTTTGTTGTTTACAAACCTTTAAGAGCTAAAATCTCGCATTTGATTTTGAGAGGAATACATCCACTTTCAGCGAATTTATAGGGTATGTTGATTTGACCGATTTTCGTGAAATTTCGCCAACACATTCCTGAAATGATGACGAACAAAACTGTGTCAGAAAATTTTGATATTTGAAACATTTTTTACGTGGTGTCCATCTACGCAACACGCTTCGCATATTTTTCGCTACACTAACTTTAGATGCGAATATCTAGACAACCAATCAGAATATCAGAGAAGCCTGACACAGTTTTGTTGATTGATTCCTTGTGAATGAGACTCTGCAGCCATTTTTCTCGTGCCGCGGGATCCGATACCCGATAAATTCAATAGAAGAACCCTCGGTCGTTTCACGCCTTACCGGCTCCTGACACTTCCTAAATGAAAAATCGCCTAAAATACATTTTATCGTAAACTGCATTTATTAAGATTTGTTTCGATGTATAGTTTGTTAGGGTTTTCTTCAAACTAGCGCGCATACGACATTTTTTCCCGAAGGACACCAGCGAAGGTAGGAAGTAACCTAAGAGAAAACCAGGATTCAAAAAAACTCCTTAAATCAAGTGAAATCTGTAAAATAACGACACCAGGAGCAAGCAACACACGTATGGAATAAGGTAGAACATGGATTACCTAAGGTAGATGGGGGTAAAAGTGGTAGAACATGGGTTACCTAGGGTAGATGGGGGTAAACGTGGTAGGACATGGGTTACCTAGGGTATATAGGGGTAAACGTGGCAGAACATGGGTTACCTAGGGTATATAGGGGTAAACGTGGCAGAACATGGGTTACCTAGGGTAGATGGGGGTAAACGTGGTNTTATTAAAAACTAGATCATTGGATAATGCAATTCAAGACTTTTTATTGGCTTAGCCATTATGGTATATCAGCCAATATACCATAATCTACAAATATGGTAAGCGTACGTGTCAGGTTAAAATCAAAAGGGAGCTAAAAATTTAATAAAATTTAATAATTCAATTTAACGTTTTTAATAAAACAATTATTCCACTCACGCTTGTTGGATATGAGATGATTATAGCCAACTCGGCGCCACGCGCCTCGTTGGCTATCTATCATCTCATATCTAACGCGCGCTCGTGTAATAATTGTTAATTAGTTATTGGGACATATGGACCTAGTATATAGGCTTTACCCATGGCGTACAATTTCATACAGTCAGCGGCTCAATTGAGGGCTCACGTAATTTTTCTTTTCCCTCCCTAAATGTGCTTAAACCAGTAGAATTTACTTTTAAGCGGTGAAATTATCTTACCTAGGACATAATTAACCATAAAGCAGGCTTAAAAAAAGAATAGCCCAAGTTGTTTTGTTATTTTCTGATTGCGTAATGAATAGTCTTCCACTTTCGTTAGGCAAAGTCACAGCAAACTCGAACCCTCTATCAGACTTGGACTGCTGTGTTCTCCGTGAAAGGGAATCTCTTTATTTAAGCTACTCACAAAATCGAAGGGTTTCATAATGGCAGCCGATGTTTACAGATGTTTACAACCGTGGAAAGCATTTTACACCCTTCAGTTCGTAAAGTAGCTCCTTTAGAAAAGGAAGTACCAACATCTTTTTATCATTTTGAAATACAACAAGAAATCAAATTTCCTTCATATTTATGTAACTACCAGGATACCAGAAAGCAAATGCAAGTTAAGGTCTCACTTTTCATTTTTATCACCTAATCAAAGTTGTAAATAGGTACCTTTTTTATTTGCTTTCATACACATTCAAAAGTCTTTTTAGCCAATTAATTTACTGAAACTAAAATCATAATTACTTTAAGTAAGTTCTCTTTTGAACCTCAAGTTGTAAACACCAAGCTTTGTTCCTTAAATTCCAAATGACAAAAAAAAAAAAAGTATTTAGATGTTAATAGAATGCCAACCAACTGTATACTATCACACAGACTTCAACAAGTTTATGGTTTGGCCACATCATTGGCCAATACAGCCTTATATATTGTTTTAATATATTATTAGAATCAGACTTTGCATTTCAGGGAATTGCAACCAATTGATCAAGTTTAAATGAAACTGATTACTAGATTTCCGGGTCATCCTCGGTGTAAAAACCTGACAAGGTTTTCTTTGTTTCATGAGGTATTGTTTTGCTGTACGCTATTGTTTATAATGTTTTGTTGTATTTGTTTTACGTCACTCGTGAGCTTCACAGGTTTTTACACTGAGGATGAGCCAGATTTCCTATTGTTAATATGTTTCAGATGTATTTTGAACTAAATGAGAAGAATAAAGTTTGTCGTGAGTGTAAAAGAATGTTCCAAAATGGTTTATTTACCAATGACAGAGTGGAGCAGAAGCTCACAAACCCATCTAGGTTTTTCTTTTTTTTTTTTTTTTTTTTTTTGTGGTGAACTTTCCCTTACAGCTGCAAGCAAGCTGAACATACATAATTTGTAGCTTGTGCCAGGTCAATAAAATAATGAACAGGCATGCAAAAAAACAGCTGGTATTGACCAATAAAAAAGGCAAGAATCACAACCACCATTTGTCATTAATGCCAGATATTTTGCCCATCTTTGCTGCCTAAGAGCCTTGAAAAGACCAATGTACTAACATTCATTAAAAACTAAATTTCCAACCTCCCTTGTCTGAAAAAATCTGGGGTTTTGGCATCCCATCCAACTTGACCAAATTCATCTATTTTCTTCAATTTTCTGAATGTAAACAGTTGCTACAGGTAAACTAGTTTACTAACTACAATTCATCAAATCACAGAGTTCTTCTGGTGTGATATTTCCTCCTGTCACTATAGCAACAATGTTACTCCCTTCTGATGCATCAGGAATTTTGTTTGCTTGTAGTGCTGCAAATGCGGCAGCACCAGACGGTTCAACAACAAGCCCCGCCTGGTAAAAAGTCTTTACTGCACTATAATATGACAAAAAGAAAAACATAATTATAAAGTGCTATTCTTTTCAATCCTAGGGAATATCAGCACATAAAATTTGTATTTTTCGTTTCTATTGGAAGAGAAAAGGGTAACCTTTTCACTCCAAAGATCCCAGTAGTAATTCTTCTCCAAGTCTTTCTTCCATACAATTCTTATTATATTAGTTTGGAGATATTCTTCTGTATTCCCATCACCTGTCTACTTGATATTGTATTGATATAATAAGGAGAAAGTCGGCTTTGATCACTTGTGGGAGTAAAAGGATTGAAGAAAACTTTCTCAAGAGCTGCACTGATCCAAACTAACCAGTGAAATTCAGATATCGAAAAAATATTTTATTACTAAAAAGACAAATTAGCCAACCTCTTTATTTCATCATCTGTCACAAGAATTATGTCCTCAACATACTCCTTCACATGTTGAAAAGTTTTTTTTCCTGCAGAAAGTATTGATATTTTTAAAGTAATTGTAATGAATAATATTGTTAATTGTATCATTTGAATGAAATTATATTGACTTCTTTAAGGTTCCCATCATGCGTGAACAACCAAGGCATGCAACAACAGCAAAGAGGTATTCTATTTTTTAAGGGTGGCAATGCAATATGGGTTTATGCATGAGATGCCTGATAAAAGCCAAATTTAATATGTGACATGTGAATTTTACAGAAAGGCAAGCATGATTTGTGAATTTATGAACAAGCATAAGGCATGAGACTTTCTCCCATTTTGTGACAACCTGAGGATTTCCCTGAACCTACAAGAACAGAGATTTGAAGTTTTCCCTTTTAAATTTGGGATGCATAAATTGCTTAATCTAAAGTAGAAGTGATGCATCAATTTTTCTAAAGTTTGCACATGTACAGCATGCTACCCTCATAATAACTCTTTCTCACCTGCATAGGGAGGGGCCAGTCCAACGGCAATAGTGTTTACAGACTTCACACTAACAGCATGACCTTGCTGTTTACTCAGATACATTGTTGGAGCTGTGAAAAAAAAAGACAAGTTAACAAACTATGATGAATAATAAAAATATTAGTCTACAAAAAGGAGGTCTCTCATCAGAGTAAGTTAACTTCAAGAGCTTGGAGTTATTCATTTTGACAAGCCATGTTTGATTGAGAGTTACAACTGGACCATGCAGGGAGGGAACAGGGAAAGGCAAGTGATTATCATTGCCCCTTCCCTCCCCTCTCCTTTCTTTTGACTGTCACACATGCCTTGCAGTAAAAATCAAAGATAGCAGATATAATTTTCACAAAGAAATTACAGAGCACTTGATCATCAAATTAAGCCCCTCCACACACTACAAAAATGTTGAAATAAACCACAATCAAGAACGATATATTTGATTATCAAAAAAAAATCACCTCCTTCAGGCTCCACTCCAAAAATCTTTGTCTTCTTCTTTCCTTTGAGCTTAATACCTGCTGCAACCCCAGAGAGTAGACCTCCACCTCCGCAACAAACAACCACTATATCAGGTTCTGGAATGTCCTCCAGGATCTCAAGAGCTACACTACAAAATTGTTTGTACAATATACATAAAATGCACATTAATAACTGGCTTCAGTTAAGGTATAAAATGCAAAGAGGTGGAGGGGGATGTAAAATGGCTTTACTTAAATGATTATGATCCCACTAGTTTTGCAGAACCCTACATGGGAGCTTAATGTAGTCTAGCAAAAGCCCCCCAAAAAGTGTTGTAAAGTGTATTAGAGCATATTGGGATGAAGAATGTGCTATGTAAATGCACCATCATTATCATTATTGTTATAATCACTCCTGGGCTATTGTTTAGAGAACAGATAATACCTGGCAAAACCAGAAATGAGATGAAGATCATCAAATGGATGAAGAAAATGCATTCCATCTTCAGCAACATGGCGATCAACAACATTTTGCAACTCACTTGTTGGCATTCTTTCCACTTTAACACCAAAACTCTGCAGATCAGCATAAAAAATTTACATTAAATAAGTTTTTCCTGCTTTTTTGTACCCCTCTCCCCCCTCCCCCCACCCCACAGTAAACAGATGTTAACTACAAACACATCATCATACATACACTTGAAAAAAAATAACATGACCGCAATAAAACAAATTTACTGCACTCAAAATTTCTAAAACATCATTGATTGTCTAATACGGGTTGTTTATTACACTACTCGGGCAGTCAGAGGGCCAATAACTAAAATCAACCAATCAAAATGCTCAATTGCCAGTCAATATTCTCACAGTATTGGACCTGGCACTGTCCCGAATGGTCCCAAATGATACCGCACTTGTGTCCCTTTGAACGTAAGTTGTATAAATCTTTTATTCACCAAGCCTGCTCGGGACCGTACTGGAAGAATATCTGCGCTCGGTCCGTACTGTCAAGACCTCAGGCCGATATTCTCCCGGTGCAGCCCTGGCACTTGGTTAGTAAGATATCTTATTTTATTGACTTTTCCCTGGAGTGACCACAAAAGAATTTATCCCTGCTTTATTTAACAACTATTCACCAAAGCAGCTCGAGGTTGCTGGTGCAGGATATTTTCCGAGCTGCAAAGCAGTAAGGGAAATATCCATCACTAGTCAGGGACACTGAAAGAGGTAAAAACTTGTTTTAGACAATTGTATTCTAAAACAGTAAGAAATATAGCACAAAAAGATGATTTTATCTCATTTATTCTTGTAACAAATACAATATTTTTGGGCACAAATCTCACACAAGTTAACCTAAAGGAAAAATGGCAAAGAATACTTGGAGTTTGAGTAGCCTATCAGGGCACGCTTTCATTGTAATCCTCTGTTTAAGTATGTTCTAACAATAATTATACTTCGTATATGAGCACGATCCTTCAATATACAGGATCAAGTAAAAAGTTGGGAAGAAATATTAGTATACATCAATAAATTGAGTACATTTCTGATTTGACTACAAATTCTCCAAGGTAAAATTGTACAAGATATATGGCAGCTAGATGATGCAAAGAATTTATATCCTAGATCCAAAGAGTGAGCAAGAACTGGTCCAAGATCTGATTGATAAATGCTGCTACACATTTCATGGTAAACTAGTTACAAGAATTTGGTGTTGGATCAAAATAATAACTTCTACCCAGGATAAGTTTGAGTATTCTCATTACCTGTTTGCAGAACATGATATCATAGAATATGATATCATAGCCAGAATTAAGTTACATGTTAATCACCTCTATGAGTTCAAAAGTTAAATTTGTACCTCAATCAGTTTTACTCTATTGATCGGAGCAGTTTCAGGCATACACAAACTTGCTGGAAAGTTTTGTTCCTTTGCTGCAAAAGCAAATGCCTTTCCATAATTTCCAGCAGACATTGAAAGAAGACTTTTCTTATTCTTGGTGACCTCAAAGGGGATGTTGGCAAACTGATTCACAACACCACGTATTTTAAATGATCCTGTAACATAAAATGTGTTTACATTGCAATGAACACAAAAATCGAAAAGAACGTTGATTATTACCAATTATAACATGATGAACACAGTACGCATCGTTTGATTGGTCAATTTAGTTTCCAAGCTGATACTTTATCAGGTTCTAGAGCCCACATGTGACTAGTTAAGTCATAAATGCAATGCAATAGCTAGAGCACATTTCTTTCCGAGCTCTATAACGTGATAAATCCACTTAAGATGTAGGAAGACGACGAGGAAAACTTTTAAACCACAAGTTAAAGGTGAGTGATTTATAAGCTTTCCTCATGAACTCCCAACATCTCAAGTGGCTTTATCATGTTATAGAGCCGGGAAAAATGCCAAGAAGTGAAATTGCCAAGAAGCGTCTGTTCCAAGCTGGGATAATTAACAATTATTCCACTAACGCGCATTGGATATGAGATGATAGATAGCTAACAAGGCGCGTCGCGCCAAGTTGGCTATAATCATCTGCTATCCAACAAGCACGAGGGGAATAATTGTTTTATTAAAAAAATGCCCCCAAGCAATTAGACAAATCTTCTCGAATTTATGGATGTTACAACGTACAGATATTAGGTTATGGTCTATTGGCTCATATACCATAATGGCTAAGCCAATAAAAAGTCTTGAATTGCATTATCCAATGACCAAGTTTTTAATAATATTTAATGCATCTGATGACCCAATGCTCCTTCCGTTCTAAAACTGTACCTGTATTTTGCATGCTCTCCATTTTCAAATGCAGTTTAAATCGGTCCCCAAAGCCAAACATCTGTTCCACATTTTGGAGCAAAGGTGTCCTGACAACTACACGACATCCTTTGATAGCTTCTCGGGCTTGTTCAACGTCTCTCCAAGAAACGAGCATTTCCACGGAAAATGACCGATAGACAGTGAACCACAAGTCACTACCCTAACTGTATTGTCAAATACAGAAATCTTGGATAAAGCTCTAAATCTCCATCTTAACCAATAAATTAAGTTAAAGGAAATATTTATTCACGCCACAGTCGGAACGATGGAGACTTGGAACTAGACAAGAAATTGCGGGGGAGGAGAGGGAGGAGTAGCTTCGGGGTTTTGTTTTTTTTTTTTTTTTCCTTCTCCAACAGGGAAATGAATTGTACCGAGGCAAGAGATTATAGAAAGTTTATAATATCTTCACCGAAGATGGTTCTGCATGCTAGCTACTGGACTAAAAGATTATTCAAGATTGTGTTGTTAAACCACATATTGTAAGTTAATCATTAATATACAACTATCTACGTTCGGGGATTCCCCTCCGAAAGGTAGCTGTGTTGCGATTCCAAACGACAGCTGTGTGCTGCCCTAGGTGTTGCTTTGTAGTCACAGGAAATTGATTAAAGACAAAATCATCCAAATAACAAGTCTTTGGCAGGTATAATGAGCATTAGAGACGCTTACGATCGAGGTAACACTAATATTATTTCTACATGCTTCTGATTTTCGCAGGACAGTTTGTATTCAGCGAAGTGAAGCACGTGACGATCACGAATGTTCCACTCTTCGCTAAAAGTAGCAATCGTCACGCAAGGCAGTCATCCAGAACAAATCTTAAATAAAAAGAAGTTTTTAACTGGCGAAGCACATTCCTTTAGGCGCAGTTTGCATGCGTACAATTTGGCTCGTACACGTATGCGACCGAAATATTTACCGTGAAACATGGAACAGGGAACTTTACCTCGCATACACAATTCTAGGTACTGGCCCGATCTTACAACGTACGGTCCAAAGATGATATGCGAGATGTATCCTACAAAAGGGAATGATCCCTTAGGTTGTTCAGTTTCAGTGAAAGCGGTAAGTCTTAGTACGCAGACAACCGAATTGTTCAAGTGGTTTTACTTCCGATAAGGCTTCTGTTGATAATTCTTTGAGCTGTCAATTTCGCCCTATTTATTTTGAAAGCTGTTTCCGAAAAAGATGTAATACTTCCGAATTCAATCTTGATCTAATTCGAGACGGAGAGCAACTGACCTAAGACAAACTTAACACTCGTTCTATAATTCGAGGTTCACTAGCTAAAATACATCATTTCGCCACCGTAAAGGTAAATTGAACGGCGTTTCTTCCGATTTTTTTTAATAGGGAATTCGCAACTTGTTGAACGCTCCGGTCTAAATCGAGTCATTGCAGAGTAGTTTAATCCAAATACAAAATTATCCCGGCAAATTCCGAACGGGCCTCTGGACTTTGCTTTGTTATGATTTATGTGTTTGACGAGCACACTTGCAAATTCCCGGACGTTTGTTCGATTCATCGGATTTCTCTTTTCACCAAGGTCACTTGTAAACAGAAAACAGTGTATAGCTAGGACCTCAAAGGAACCGTTTAAAAAACTTATTCCCGCAGTTTCAACAAATGCATTCATGTAATTAGACATACAATATCCGTGAAATTTATATTTCGCGTCACTATTAATTTTAGATGAGGTACGGTCAGAAGTAATTAAAGTTTGTCCAAATAATAGCATTCATATTTCGGGATGTTTATAACAGAGTTACTCGTTGCATGTCCAGTCGAGCTTATGATTTATTACAACTTCTATACTTCCAGTTACCACTTAAAACCTATTTTTCAGCCAATTCTGTTTTAACCACATTCCATTAGCGAGGGGCAAGGACCCATTCTTTCCCCTGGTTAACATGGCAAAACAAATTAACACTTTTAGTTTTGTTATTTCATCATAATTTTTGTTCCTACATCATTTAATCCCTTACTTCTTTTCGTTCAGCCACTATAATATTAGTTTATTAATTTATCTCTGAAATAATAAAAGATACGAACAAAAACATATTTGTATATTGTATTTATTTTTTATTTATTTATTTATTTATTACAGTTTCTCCAGATCTAGAATAAATTAAATTACTAAATAGATGCATAAATAAATACATAGACATAAACATAGACAGAATAAATAAATAATGATGATGGAGAGGCAGCACTTGTTCAAGCAGCACTTGAACAAGTGCTGAAATATAGTATTTCAGCACTTGTTCAACCTTACCACGTCTTTTTTTTTCTCTCATAGGATGTAGACAGGGACTACTTGTTCAACCTTTCCACTT